TGAGAAAAATCAGCCTGAGGAAGAAGACAACGTTTAAAAGGCACAAAGAAATAGGACACTGTTGACTAGGAAGACAGGGAAAGCAGACGAGGAGGCAAGAGACATGGGTGACTTCTGAAGGCTGTAGGGAATAACTCCTCCCAAACTCCACAAAACATGCCTGACCTTAGACAGGGAACCCCCGATGTAGCTTCCCAACCTCAGAACTGTGAAGTAACAAATGTGTGTAATTTGCTGATGTTAATAATCTGCTACAGCAGCACTTGGAAACCCAGAGGTTGTTCTAGAAGAAGCAGTGTACTTATGCCATTTGCTAATCCTTTTGCTAATACCTTTTTATTTCTTTTTGTGGTGACAGGGTCTTGTGTAGTCCAGGCTGCGATCCAACACAGAGGGTAACATTGAACTTCTGGTCCTCCCATCACCATGTGTGTACATCTCCATGCAGACTTTATGTAGCACAAGGAATCAAACCCAGGCCCTCGTGCATGCCGGGCAAGCAATCTACTTTTCAACTCCATCCCCAGCCTCGATCCTTTCAACCTAAAATAATGTTACTGTTTCTGGTTGAATGGGGGCGCCTGGGAGGGGGGGTGCTTAGAAATACTCGAAGACAGGATGGAGCTGAAGGAGAATGGCACTGAAAAGGAGAGAACTGCAGGAGTGGAAGGGAAACAGGAAACTACACCATCTGTGGACACCACAACCCAGGATTGTGAAACAGGTCTAAATGCAGGCCAGCTTCCTGTTGTCGGATGAGTCAAGTAGAAAGCAATCTATTCTTCTATTTTTGATATATTCTTTGTTTATATTTTAATAAGCTTGTAACTCTTTTAAATCTGCATTTTAAACTTTCTCTAGACAATGTAGATGGTCAATAATGTTATGTGATCGAATAGACAAGTCAGATGTCATGGACCAATGACAACTTTTTAAATAATTGTACTCATAGACCTGTAAAATGAAAGACATTGACAAAGACCGCAAAGGTGTGTGTAGAAATAAGGTTCCCAACATAACATTATTTTCATTTTAAATCACATCAACTCTGGAAATCCGTTATCTTTATTTTGGCCACCAGAGGGCACAATAACCTTTGTTGAAGCTCAAAATCTAGCTACAGAGTAGCATATTTTGCATTGTTGTTAGTCTACTTGATTTGAGTTTTTTTATTTCAGTCTTCAAAAAGGAAGAAATAATACAAGGCAGAAAATGAACACCAGTAGTGTATTTTGATTATTTTTTTCATAGCATTTTACTAGACAGTTTGCTTTAATCGTTATCTTACATGTTATCCAGGGAACAGGGGACAGGAGAAATGAGGCATGCCTCGTGTTTTCAGTTTAGTCAAGACAGATAGATGACAAAGACCAAAAGCACAATGACAGTTAAGATATCAACCCCACATTAACATCTTTCCCCAATACCATGCACTGTTTAACCCCATCCCCACCATGCAAATATCACAACATGTGGTGACGTAAACCATGGTTTTTATTACAGGATTTTAAATGTCCCCATGGGGTATGCTTCCCTTTGGACTAAAGCTAAAGAGACATCAGTACAGAGCAATTAAGTTTCTTTACAACAGGAGATATGGGAAACTTTTTTTAATGCACAATCCATTTTAATGTGGCATGGTGTGGCTGAATCACTTGGATTTCTGTGAATGGAACATCCCCTCCTCCACCCATTTCACAGAGACCACAATAAAATCTAGTGTGAGGAGTTTTTACTATTATGTCTGACAAAACCTTAGAGAGGCAGTCACCCCCTATATCTAGGACTCAATTTCTCTTGTGAGTGAGTATACAAAAGGGTTTGAGGGGAAATAAATTGGAAATCTCCTTCATACAGCCCATTCTGTTAGCTGGAAATAGAAATACATTCTAAAACTGCATCTGGACACAGCAGCTCCTCAATATAATGTGACATTTGGACAGTCACCCTCTCTCTGTACCTAAATTATTTGTATTGCTATATTAAAATACTGTTTTTCTTTTTTACAAAGAAGTCTGTGTCCATAAAATTAAATATGGCTTTCTCTGGTAGAGCGCCTCTCCTCAGAAGACTCAAAAATATTTTCCTTTTAATTTGTTTCATCTCTATGACAATATGACCTGAAGTCTCCCTGAGGAAATAAACATCATTATAATCACATGAGATGAAATTAAGAACTGAGAACAAGGGGACTCACTCCTAACCACTAACTCTCTCATATCTGACATAACAGAGCTCAAAAGGAAAAAACAATTAACGAAATAAATACTTTCCATCTCTTTAAAGATGCTGCTTTCCTCAGCCCTGACATTCTCACAATAGGAACAACTAGTGTCTTTTACAGACGGGAATAAATGAGGCAGCAACAATCAGGTCAAGCCCCAGTGCTTGGACAACCCAGAGGTGACAGGACTATTAGGGAGGAGGTGCTCCCAGCAGAACTCTTGGGGATTCAGCAAAAGCCATCTATGGCAGTCAAGTGTGCCCAGCCTGGTATGATAGACACAGAAGCCCATCAGACCTCTTGTTGCCAACAGGATGGGCCCAGAAATTATTTTCTCAACAGAGAGGGCTGACAGAGCTGAAGTTCAAACTCATTTGGCTCTCCCACTTGAGGCTTTGAGCCAGGTATTCCACTACACCCACAGTTGACAATCATCCTGATTAGCCTATGGGGCAGTGGACACCGGGGGAAGGAGTCTGGAACATACAATTTGCAAACTACAAAGTGCTGTGTAAATGTAAGGCATGGGTTCACACTGAAATCTGACTCTAGATCTGACCTCTTTCTCGGTTCTGGAATCCTAGCAATTGTTTGCTGCAGGATCTTTCTGGGACTCTGTAGTCTCAGACTAAAGCTACAGGCAAAACTAAGAACTATTCTAAACAAGACATCCTCCAAACACTGGAAGAATGTGGGATCCGTGTGTGTTAGAAACCTCAAAACCAGGGAGGCTCTCCCACCAGGCTCTCGCCTTCAGACAAGAATAAAGAAAAGTCCTCCTCCTAGAGAAACCCAACCCTTAGCCAGTGTCACAGGTTTGGAAAGACTACTCAAAGGTCCACTGATGGTGTCCTGAGCAGCCATAGTTCTGGTACAGACAGGTCAGCAGTCTCCCACAGGGTCCTATTAACTATCTATAACCCATTCCCCAGCAATTAGCTGGAGGAGAGCTACTTGTCCCAGATCTTGGACCAGAGAAGAGACTTGAAGCCAAGAGAAAGATCATCATGGTTTCTCCTGCCCTGGGGGCCATCTGGTCACTTCCCTCCATCCTCACCCGCCTCACCTCACCACTGCTGAGGATTCACAGGGCCACCAAACCCCTACATCCTAACTGAACCTAGCACAGAGTGAAAAAGTATTTATTTACAAAATTGGAAACAGGGAGTGGCTCATTCATGTCCAGGGGGCCAGGACACAACTGAGACCAACTCAGTAACATTCTGCAGGTTGGCTCTATCAAAGCAGAAATTTCTCCTCTGGCTTTCTTGAAGTTACTTTGAAAAACCACCCTACAGATTGGTCAAGGAATTTCATGGACTAATTTTGCCATTAGATCTGAATGTTACTGAAGAAATTTACATTCAAAGGTCAGTTAAACACATGTTAATGAGAAGCCAAAGTAAAACATTTAAATATAGCAATAAGGCCTGACTAAAAAAAGTTGGGGCAGGGGTGGCATGGGGTAGGAGGGTAATGGAAATGTGTAGTTTGATGTTGCAAATAAAGAAGTGGATGAAGATTTTTCCCAGGCTAAGATTTGTTCCATTGCTAATTCACCTTCCTTTGATGTTTCCTTGTGCTTTGGGTCCTGGAGCATCACCCTTCTAACAACAGTGATGTCCTGAGGTTGAGGCATCAGCCTCTAGAACTGAGTGCTATCCAGAAGGAGGAGCCAGCGTGTCCTTTCCTGGTTCAACTTGAGACTTTGTCTCTCAACTCAGTGAATCTTCTAGTTCCTCTTGCTTCTTGGTTAACTTTTCCTTTCTTGAGGCAAGTATTATTTTTTCATTTCAGTATACAAAAAGTCTTGGTAAAGTACAGGGAAATATGAAATGATACTTTACATTTACTTTGTAGATATAGATCAGGTGGCTACTTCTATTTGAATTTGTCAAGCCACATTTGGTGCTATGATACAAATATGTATGTCAACAATTTGCAAAGGGCAGGTGAGAGCCAAATGGGTTCTTAGTGAATTTGGGTTATTTTTTGTGATCTATTTATTTATTTATATCCCAGAAAAGGGACTGGACTCAAATAATGGTTATTTTTATGATGAGAAGAGGTCATTGTGACTAATATATTGTTTTTCTATGAGCTCTCTTTAACAACACATCTTAATTTCTATTAATATTATTTGGGAATTATATTGTTTATATTTTGTTTGGCCCAAGAGTTCATGAGATGTGTTTCTTTGGGTTTACAATTTATGGCATAAATGTCATAAACTTTAAATTTCATGAGTAGAAAAGCTAGCCTAAGGTTCAAGGTAAGAAAATTATGTATAACAAGCATTGAAATTTAAGAGTGGTGGAGCAGGAGGGGCAGCAGGAATAGAAGGAAGGCATTCAGAAAATGAATAATTATCAATACGTGCTCCCGTAATTTTTCCCATGAGATTTCCTGAGCATTCCTCACATACTATAGTGCAGCACAACTTCAGTAAGTCATTAGTATGCCTATTTTTCTCAAGCAAAAATGATATGCTTCTAGAATATATGTATATATATATATATATTGAACAACACATAATAGAACACTGTCTTTCAAAACACTATAATTTGCACTTCTATAAATACATTTAAATAAGAAACATAGCTATTCACATCTCATACTATTTGACACATAAACATACAAAAATAAAACAATCCTAACTGTTTTGTTCGTCTAGGTTCTTTTCTAAGTTCAGAACAATTCAGAAATAACCTTAAGAATTTGGATCCCAAGTAAACTGGATATAAATTCATACTGGGTTAGGCACCACAGTCAAGGATGAACACAGTATGCCATCCCTTGCAGTGGGGATTACTATCTCCTACCACTATTCAGAGAAGCTGGGGTGGAGGACAAAGGTCTCCAACTGTCATGCATAGTCTGTCTCCTAGACATTGTGAGGCAGGGCCACCTTAATCAGATTCCCCACCCTAGGCAAAGCATGCACATAAGAAGATGTCCTCTGAGTGGAACAGAAAGCATGCCTTTTCCCTGGACTCCCCACTCTCTATCCCACTAGGGTAGACTCTTCAAATAAGTGCTCAACAAGTTGAAAAGGCACTGCTCTCTGTACCAAAGACAAGAAGAGCCTTGTGTTCCACAATTGCTAACACATGTTCAGCTCCAAAAACTACTGCGAGAGAAATGCTTCCACTTGAAATGTTTTATAGAGTTCTGCAGCCCACCAAAAGGGATTCTACATGTTTCTTTTGCAAAACGGAATGTTCCTATGAATTATTATCCCTGGTAAAAATCAGGCCTTCTGTCTGTGGTAGAATGTAATTCTCTTGAAAGCAAAGGAGGGGTTACCCCTTAGACATCTCACCTAGAGCCTAGCATTCCTTCCAGCTCCTAGTGGGAGCACAGAAGATAGGCCTGCTCAGATGAACTCCACAACTCCAATATTGATGAACACAACACACGGAAGCCGGGACTCCACTGCATCAGAACTGGCTTCTCCCTGGCTTTGTCCTTAGCAGGGAGGGATGATGCCTCAGGAACTGGGTTTGGACGGCACTGTCACAAGGAAGGGAGCAGTCCTGGTTTCTGCTCAAAGAGAATTCTCAACACAGTCAGAAGAGCTGGGGTTCTTGAGTTCCTGGGAGGCAACTTCAGGGTCCTGAGGTACCTGCTGCTGATGATAGATGTCCTGGATCAGCAGTGTGTTCATGACCTTCCACTCTCTGTACTTCCTGGCTGTCAGCTTAGGATCATCCAGCAGTTGGTTGATCATGGCCAGATCATGTTCTTTGCACTGGCCGAGAAGAAAACAGGAAGGAAGGGGCATCAGTGAGAACATGAGCATCTGAACTTTGGTGAGTCAACTTCCTCAGCCCTTTCACAGACTCACAGACCCATCCACCACAACACTACCGAAGTGGTTTTGCAAATTAATATTCTAATCTCTCAACATGCCTGAGGTCTGGCACAATATCTCTTCACATGTGGAAGCCACCAAGAAGCTGTATATATTCACTCCCCAGGTTAGTGAAAGAACCAGACAGTCTGTTTTCTGTGCTGGCCCCTTGACCCATCTATTACCCCACACAGTAGGGTGACTCCATGTTAGTGTGTGTCACTGGGTGCTGGCATGCCCTGAAGCTTAGTTAGTTGTACACACGGGTGCTTCTCTGACCATCCAAACTTCACTAAGTAAAACTGGAACATAGTACTTTACCTGAGGCATAAGGTAACAAAATATATCTTTTTAAATTTTGTAGATTTTTAAATGATTTTTACTAAGTCATATTCTATTAACACACATATTTATATATGAAAAGTATGGTTTCCCTTTTTATTCAAAGATGAGATACCTAACTTTCCACCAGAACAATGTGTGTGCCAGTATAAAATAGCCTATCAGCGCTGCTTCCTCGGCTTCACTAAAGTTATAAGAAAAGAAGGAAGCCTCAATTGATAACTTGTTTCCAGAAGATCAGACTTAGGCAAATTCTTAGGGCATTTTCTTAATTAGTGACTAATGTGGGAGAGTCTAGTCCATTGAGGGTGGAGCCACACCTGGGTTCTATAAGAAAACAGGCTGAGCAAGCCAGTAAGCAGTACCCCTCCATGGCCTCTGCATCAGCTCCTGCCTCCAGGTTCCTGCCCTGTTTGAGCTCCTGTCCTAACTTCCTTGGTGATGAACAGGGATGTGGAAGTGTAAGCCAAATAAACCCTTTCCTTCCCAAGTTGCTTTTGGTCATGGTGTTTTATCACAGCAATAGTCACCCCAACTAAGACAATCTGAGTTTGAACCAGCAGCACCCACATAAAAGGCCAGGATAGTTGCATGTGCCTGTAACCTCAGCATTGCTGTGGGGACAGAGACAGGTGAATCTGCAGGGCTCCTGGTACAGTCAACCTCTCAGAAAGGCCCCTTCTCATTCAATGAATGGACCTGCCTGAGAGTCAAAAAGTGGAAACTAATAGAGAAAGACATGTCACTTCTTCTGGCTTCCACATGTGCATGCATGAGTGACTCACATGCATGCACCACACACACACACACACACACACACACACACACACACACACACACACACACAGGTAAATTAATTAACCAAGACTAAAAAAGATGACAAAATACATTTTCTCCCTCATTAAATTCTTGGCTCATAACACAATGCCAAGTGCCATGTGGACAGTAAGAACCTATTTACCATGGACAGTGAGTACCTATTTCCCAGTGTACCCATCTCTACCACCCCCATGGAAGCATATGCACAGCTCATATGTCACTCACAGTCATACTCACTCACTGCTCTCATCTCAAGTTCAAGACCATCAATCATCATTCTCATCCTAAATGTCAGGGGCTCACACTTTTGTCTCCCCCATCTGAACTGAAAGCTCATGAGGACTGACAGGTTTGTCTAAAAGGCCACTGTTCCCCCTTGACTGAGAGAATGACTGACACACAATGCACATTCTCATAATACTTGTTTAAAACCTGACTACAGGTTTTATATACAGCCATTATGAAGAATGGAATACTGTTGTTTGAGGCATAGAACTAGAAGGCATTGGGCTAAATGAAAACAAAGCAAATAAACACAAGTTGCGGGGCGTTGGTGGCACACACCTTTAATCCCAGCACTCAGGAGGCAGAGGCAAGCAATCTCTGTGAATTTGAGGCCAGCCTGGTCTCCAGAGCGAGTGCCAGGATAGGCTCCAAAGCTACACAGAGAAACCCTGTCTCGAACAAAAAAAGAAAAAGAAAAAGAGACACAAGTATCCCATGTTCTCCCTCATATGTAAAATTCTTTAAGAAATTAACATGAAAGTAAAAGAGCAATTGCTAAGGTTTGGGAAAGGTGTTAGGAGGGAGGGGCAACCAGGAAACAAGAGTAGAAAGATGGATGTCCATGGTGAATACGTAGTGTGGATGTGAAGAATATCTCATAGTACAGAATCATGGGATATTAATTAATATGTGTTAATGACAATAAAGCTGTCCTCCCTACCTCTATTCCTAATCTCCAAGGAGAGAAGGGTTGAAAGGAGTCACCAAGAGTCATCTAGCAATCACACTCTGCCTCTTTCTCTCTCCACCTCTCCAAATGACTATTTAAAGCTCCCTCAGGTTGGAAGAAGGCTCAGCATGTAAGGAAGTACATACCAGCCACAGAAGGATAAAAACCTAAGCTTGGACCCTGAGACCCTTATAGAGCCAGACATGGGAGCATGTAACCAAAATACCAGTGTTTCTAGAGTGAGTTGGGAAACAGAGGCAGGAGAGTCCCTGGAAGCCAGCAGGCCAGCTAGGAGAGACAAAAATGAGCAGAGACCTGTTTCAAACAGGTTCTCTGACCTCTACATAGGTACTGTTGTACACACATGCCCACACTCAGACACACAAGCATATATGTGTGTGTGTGTGTGTGTGTGTGTGTGTGTGTGTGTGTGCATACACAAAAATCAGAAAAGAAGAAAGCCCTTCTCATTATATTTCAAACCTCCTCCTCATCATCACTCATTGCTGATAACTTTGTTCTGCATTTTTGGAAGAAATGAAAGCAACCTGAAAAGCACTCTCAAGCTTCTCGTGCCCACTACCCACACCAGCAAGAACACACACTACCTTCCTTCCTGTTTGTGCAGATAAAGGTCTGTGCTCTGAGCATAGGCTACCCTCTCCACTCCAGCATCGTGGCTTCTGCTCTCATGATCAGGACACTCTGATTCATCAGTCTCCCATCTCCACTGGGGCATTCTCACTGACACTCATGTGCCATGTTATTTCTTCTAGCTTGAAAGTTCTCTCTGACGGCACCTCTGTCTAGCTCAGGTTCCACTCTCTCTCTTGTCCTCAGTGACCATTCCTTCATAGTCTTACTTCTGGTCTACCAGGCTTTCATCCCACCACTCCACCAAACCAGGGATGCTCCTTGGTAACCTCCATGTTAGCTCATCCAATGGCTAATTATTCTTCTTCATATTCATCAACATACCTAAAACTTCTGGTCATTGTCAAACCTTGAACATGTCTACCTGGTTGCTGCTCTAAGACACTCTTGACTTTCCTTGTCCCTTGACAGTCACTTTACTGGTTCCTCATTAGCCGAACTCTTGACACCGGACTGTTCAAGAGTGCCTGTCTTTGTCTGTGCCTATGTTCTCTGAGTGTCACACTCTTGGTGGCCTCCTGAATCTCTTCTACTTCTATACCCCTGAAACTTTATGACCCCACGTTTATATCTTCCCTAAACTACATTAGCTCTGGTTAAACAGCTAATTGTCATGTCAAATACAACAGGTGTAAACCTGAGGTCATTTTCCTACTTGACACCTTTAGGTGTCCATACTCTAGACTTCAAGTATTTTTTAATAATATTCTTATTCGAATTAGAAATAAGATTGTTTTACATGTCAAAAGTATTTCTAAATAAACATTTCATCTCAGTGCAGCATGTGTGAAGAAAATTGCACAAACAGAAAGGTTTGTGCATGAGAAATTATCTCAAAATGAACACACCTTCATAACCAACTCCAAAGTCAAGAAAATACCCTTGCCCTGTGCCCACTTTATAAGCTCCACTTGTGTCCTTTTTCAATAGCTAAGAAATAATTATGATAGCTTTGCTCATGGCTACACATACACACAATAATTCAGTCAATAAATTACTGTTTATTTTTGTTTCTTGTTCTAGGGCGTTGTAGTATTTTGTTGTTGTTATTTTTGTTTGTTTTGCAGTACTATGGGGTTGAATTCAAAGCTTGTACATGTTATGCAAACACTCAACTATAGAGCTATATACCTAGCCCTTGTTGATATTTTTCAACACAGCCACTTTACACATGACAGGGGCTTGCTGCCTGTTGAGGATCACTAGGCAACATAACATGAGCTACAGGTCAGGGGCCTCCAGCACTGTACTTCTCTGAGGCCTAAGTGAACCATGGAAAGGAATGCTTTCTACACAGCAGAGAGCAACAGATTGGGTATGAGATGACCCTTGAGATGACCCCGACCATTCCCTACCTCCTGAGATTCATCTGCCCATGGAATCTTCTTCTGGATTATTGGCTGACCTGATTCTCTGCTTCTGTCCAACAGAGTGGCTTAGCTGTGGGAACTGGGTTATCACTCACTTTGATCACTCACTATCACTATCTTCTTACTTGCTGGGCTAAGTCAGCTCCTCAGTGTGAGCTGCTTCACATAGTCTACTTGACAAGAACCTGAGATCAGCCTCCACTCATCAGACAGAGCCTGCATGCCCAGAGCCACAAACTACAAGATACTAAATGCTGTCAATGCCAACATGCAGACTGAGAAGCAGTGGAGAAATGAACAGGCTGGATGACACCTTGGTCACACACTAACACAAGAGCTAATGGAAGAATCTCATGTTCAAGCCATGCCCAGACCAAAAAAACCTACAGAAATTCTAATGGAAATGTTTCTTACTTGAAGTTCCCAAGCTTCATGATAATTAGTTAATGGTGAGACCTACTTGGAGAAAAGAAGTCACAGGGTCATTCATTACATGACTTAACTATGAAGAACAAGAATTCACAGGAAACCAGAGAGGCCGGCAAATGTCTTTGATCCTTTTGTCAGAGCACACAGGGTGTTGTCAGATCTAGAATCTGTTGCTCTATGGAATCTGGAGTCTCAGTCTTCTCCATAACATCCTGAGCTACCCATAATTCCATTGGCTTCTACTTCATGCTACTCCCAACCTGAAACAAAACAGATCATCCTCCAATAGATGTTCTACCTCCCTGAGGGCTTTTCCTTCATCTTCCCCATAGTCTAACTCTTTACTCATGGACCAGCTGTCAGCTAAACATAGACACTCAGTTGCTTCTATCCTCTGGGCTATTAAGGCCCTCAAAGCTTGCACCCACTATTGCACTTATTGTGCTGCATTTTAACCATCCATTTTCCTGTCTCCATTGTCCTGAGCATCCCACTCCATGGTCACGATGACCTAGGATGGTGCCTGGTACACTGTAATATTCAGGAAATAGCTCTCCAATAATGAAGTCATTCATTCTGCAAGATGGTAAAGTCTCAACCTTCTCTGGCATATTACACTGAATAACCCAACACATTAATCAGCTCTGAACACACCACAAAATGAGTGCTAGTGATGTCTTTTCATCATTAACTATTAGAGAATTTCTCTGAACCTGGAGATTCTTTGTAGAACTGAACCATTCTTTTCCCTGTCCTTTCCAGCCTTGCTGTTGCAGTTTTGTGGTGCCTGGTTTTTCTCTTGACTACCTGGGATGTCTGACTGCCAATACCCTCTCAGCTGTCTCAGTATTGTGCTCATGATTGGTGACATTTCTTCCTGGAAAAGGACTTGGGGCTTTTAACATGAAAGGACAATGCACACTTCAGAATTAAATCGCAGGCTCCCAGTGAGGCTTTTCAGAGCCTATGGATCTTCTGCTAATTTAAGATGACCACAGAGCGCCCTGCCCTCTGCCTGCTGGTATTGTAGTCTAAATGTAAAATTAAGATGCCCCTGTTGTGAGGAATCCTTCATTAGGGGAAGCTCTGAAAATAGCTCCAGTGCATCCTGCACACTGTCCTCTATTCCCACGTGACAACATCTGTTGGTTTATTGCCACAGAATGTGTGCCTTCCATTGCCTGGCTCTCACCATGCTTCTCAGCTACAGTGACTACAGCTGACAATTTGAAAACAGCCTCCTGGCCAAGTAGTAGCAGCTCCTGACTTTAATGCCAGCACTCAGGAGGCAGAGGCAGGTGGATCTCTGAGTTCAAGGCCAGCCTGGTCTACACAGTGAATACCTGGACAGCCAGGGCTACACTAAGGAACCCTGACAGAGAGAGAGAGAGAGAGAGAGAGAGAGAGAGAGAGAGAGAGAGAGAGAGAAACTGGGTCTGGCACAAGCTTTTGAAACCTCAATCTCCTGATTTAATAACACACAGGGATGATACCGTTGAATGAGTCAGGTGAAACCCTTATTTCTATTACTGTTTATTTTTGCCAAAGGTTGCTATCTGCTGCTAATCAGCAAAAGCTCATAAGAGCCAGTGATGGTGTGTGTCTGCAAAGGAATAGTACTTTCTGAACATGAACACATAAACCAACAGTGACTGGACTCTATGCATAAGACCTGAACAAGATCAGGCCCAGGCCAAACCCCATCATAGACCTAGAAGGGGCTCCTGCATTCCACCCCTAGATGAAAAGATTGATTGCTGAGGCAGCAGGAGGGAGAGTAAGTTTACTTCAGGGATATGGCCCTGGGCAACTACCCATGCTCTAGTTGATGGTCCTACCCCATGCACATACAGGCAGCACTAAGTACACTTGGTGGGTTTTCAAACAAGATATTAAAAAAGCACACAAAGTTGAGTGGGAAGAGTGGTGGTGGGAGAGGCATGGGGAGGGAATAGGGGTGGGTTTTGATCAAAATATACTTCACGTACATATGAAATCCTCTAACAATAAAAACCTTTAGAGCCAAGTATTGTGCTAGACACAAAATTACCAAACCAAATCACACACAGCCCTTGCCATCTGGGATTTGGAAATTCAAACTTTGAATCAGACTGAATGTAAACTTGAAGCCTGTTATGTACAGATGCTGCTGTGAGTGACCCAGTGCTTTCAAAAGATCATAGTCATCCCACTATGAAGATGGTACTTTCTCTGCTCTATCCTCCTCCCACACAAGCACTCTGAGAGAGCCATGAATCTCCCTGAGCCAGCTTTTCTTTGCCCGCTTCCAGCCTCTAGGCAGCACAGTCTGAGACTGCCTCCCCTCCCCACTCCCCAGGTAGCACAGTCTGAGACTGTCTTCCCACCCCACACCCCGCTTCTCATTGATGGATGGGTTTTTGCAACGCTTCACAAAAGACTTTCTCAATTCCTTCTTGGTTGAAGGTCGCCTGTCCCCGAGAGGAGACAGACTAGCTTGCTCCAATGATTTGTAGAGTTTCTCCATCTCATCATCTTCAGACACTTTTATTTCTTCTGTTTAAAAAGAACAGTATCCACAAACCCAGTTAAAACCAAAGAGTGAACATCAGACATCACAGACTTACAGCATTCCTGTCCACACCTTCATCCCTGACTTCTGGTCTCCAGAAGTGAAGGCCACTCATATCACTCTACTTTGCTACTCAAGAGACCATGAACCATTTAACGACGTATGATTGTAACCTATTCTAGTAAGGCCACATGCTGACCTATTGCTTGGAGACTTTGGGGGTACAGTGTAGGATTTTAATGCTACAAATTTTTGTGGGACACAATTCAATCTACTTCTAGCCCCTTAAAATTCATCATCTCTTCACACACAAATCACACGCATCTCATTTCAACACCTCCTTAAGTATTAAATCCTTTCGACATCAACTCTGAGATGAGTATCGTATCTGCACATCCTCAGAGTTAGATACTGAGAGCTTCAGAGATAATTCATCAAGGTGCAAAATTCCTCTATGTTCCTGAACCTGTGAAGAAGAGAAGTTACCTTATAGGCAAGCCCTGCAAGCTAATGTTTGCCATAAAGTCCTACTTACTGCCCTGATGTCTCCCAGTGTTTTCTGAGGAAGAAAGAAGCCTGCCTGTTTCCTGGTTGTAGAAGACAGTATTTCTCACCCTGCCATACACTATCTGCCCCCTTTTAACTCCACCTATCTGGCCTCAGCCCACCAGAGCCTAGAGAGCAATGAACCCCTGCAGACTACTAAGGGATAGGCACATGACTGGGGTAGGATAGTAGGGACCACAAAGACTAGGTCCTAGAACATTTGGGGGGGGGTGTCAGAGAGCCTTCCTACATAGCTACTCATAACAGCATTGTCCAGGAGGGAAAAGGAGAAGAACATAAAAGTTTTTATCAATGGATGAGTGGATGAAGAGAATGAACATAAGTTTTTAATCAATGGATGAGTGGATGATGGGAATGAACATAAGTTTTTATCAGTGGATGAGTGGATGAAGAGAAAGTGGTATGCACACACTGGAGCACTAGCCAACAACTTAATGAAGTGCTAAATCATCCACCAAGTTACAACATGGATGAAACCTGGAATCATAATTCTAACAAAACAAAAATCAGTCACAAAGGTCACAGATTCTGTCATATGAAATATCCAGAACAAGCAAACTCATGGAGCCAGAGGCCGGCTACCTGGGATGACGAGGACTCAGACAGGAATGAGGAATGCCTGTGGTGGGTAGGGCTTTGTTTTTGTGGGGCTGAACGTTCTCTAGCCATGATGTGATGATAGCTGCACAGGTCTGTGAGCAACTACAATCCACAGAACTATAAATCTGAGGCTATGTGAAGTATGTCACTATAGTGGCAAAAAAAGGAAGTAGGCTCTTAAAAGGTATCATGATAGCAGGCGATGTGCCCACAGAACAACCCCATAGTACTAGAGATAATCTAGAGACAGTATAAGGTCTTTAAAAACAATGACAATAAATGGAACCAGACACTGCGATCCTGGCAGTTGAGAGGTAGAGACAAGAAAATATCAAACTCAAGATCAGCCTGGGCTGTGTGAAATATCGTATTTCACAGAAAGAAAGGCAGAGACCTACACCTTGTAAGGAAGCATTAGGGTTGGGAACTTGTCACAAACATAAGGACACATGACCTGTTATGCCCTCTTTTTCACAGCCAAGAAGACAGTACTATGCCTAAAAACCCCTAGCTGTATTTATTTCATAAACAACATCTGCAGAGCACACTTAAAGGAACAAGCAAATGTATGAAAAACCTACATAAAGAATTGTTTCATTGGATTGCCTTGTACTCACCAAGCAGTACTTACCAAAGACAGAGGTAAAAACACAATCTGTTTTCCACTAATACATCATGTGCATAATTATGCCAGGGTGAAATTGTAGTAAGATAAGTCATCTGGTTCAACTGATATTAAATCAGTAAAGATAAAAATAACCTTAGAGGTTAGGGATGACAAGGCACAGAGTGTGTTCTCCAAATTTAAAAAAGAAAAATGAATAGCATTTCTTTTTCAGATTCTTTTTATTATCTTTTAACATATTTGCATAAAACATGTTTGTTAAAAATACCATGACCCGCCCCTGACACATACACACCACACACACACACACACACACACACACACACACACACACACACACACATTTCTTTCCCTAGTTTAGACTTTGAATTGTTAGTTATGAAGGTATTAATTAGCTTGTGTGTGTACATGTGCATGTATGTGTGTATATGTGGGTAAAAGTTAGTACATGGTTTTCTGGAAGTCATCTGTAATGTCTGAAAGATAACCACTTTCTGCTTCAACCCATCCAGAAACAAGATCCATAAGGAGTGGGTATGTCCAGTTAAAGACCACCTAGAAAACAAAAACAAATCAGCAATCTGATTCTTCTTCCTCAGCAGAAACCAGAACCTGAAAGATGAATGTCAGACCTCTAATAATGCAATTCTGAAGTGATTCACACACTGATAGAAAATAAAAGAGCAGACAGTACCGTTGGGAGTACAGAAAAGACTTCATTGGTTTTCCAGTGTGTCCTATTCTAGGAGAGGTACAGTGTGTTACCAGACACCTGGGAGACAAGTCTGTGACTCAATCAAGTCCACAACCTGGACAGGGGATTTGTATCATTTTTACTGGTTAGTGGCTAGTGTTTAGGTCATTGTGGGACCATAAAATGAACATGTAGTAATAACAGACACAGGTGATAATGGAAATAGGATAAAGGGGAACCCAAAGCTACCCAAGTGTGGTAATACAGCTTGCCCCTGACCATGAAGTAGAGGAGAGATGAGTCCTTCTGAATTGGGGTATCTGCTGTAGTGCTGCTGTGTCACCCCCTCCGGGCACTACTGTACGGTGACCTGATCGATTGCTGTGTGAGCTCAGGCTTTTACAATTAAGCCTCTCTGGATTAGGATTTTAGCATCTTCTTACTTATTAATATCTATTTATTTTATTTTATGGGTAAGAGTGTTTTGTCTGCATGTCTGTATATTACACCATGTGCATACTTGCCTGGTGCCAGCAGAGGTCAGAGGGCATCAGATCCTCTCTGGAGTTGTAGACAGTTGTGAGCCCCCATGTAAATGCTGGAAACCTAACCCAGGTCCTCTGCAACAGCAACAAGTGGTACTCTGAACCACTGAGCCATGCCTCTAGCCCCTCTAGTTTAGTCTCGTAGTGAAATAAATGTAGCATCCTTTTCTGTGCACACATAATTCTTTTCTGAATTATAATTTCATTGTAGAAAGCACCAATTTATCTTTCTTGTCTTACCAGATTGTGAAGATAAAGAAGAAAGGGTTGGCAGGAAAGATCCCTCATCTCTCTCCCAATGGAAATGGAAGCCAAGTGAGTTATTTCTACCTCCCTTATCTCCCAAGACAAAACAAATGGATTTTGTCTGACAGTGAAGTGTCTCCTCTCGAGTGTGTATCGTACTCTTCCCATGTGGGACAGGAGGACTTCTATTCCCATTGACACATGGGCACCTTATGGCCTGTTGACTCTAAACTCACTAGTACTTTGTCAAGGTTGAAGGCATTATCATATAGATGAAGAAAGTAAACAGTTTTGAAAAGCAAATGGTTATTTTTTCCCCAACTGCCAATTAGTGGTGGGTACTAAAAATAAAAGCCCCATCCTGTGTGGGTCCATGTGTTTCTAGACCATTCTTCACAAATTTGAACAGAGAAACAGTCTCCTGGGAAGCTTAGGAAAATTTAGGTTCTGCTTCAGCCATCTGGGATGGCACTAATACTTTAAAGTGTGTGTGTGTGTGTGTGTGTGTGTGTGTGTGTGTGTGTGAGTATATGCATATGTGCACCTGCGTATACAAGAATACATGTGTGTATGTATAAGTGTGCATGTATGTGTGCATACATGTGAGTGTGCACATGCACAAGTGTGTGCTCCTGTATATACTGGTGCCCACGCACATTTACATGTCTGCATATAGAGGCCAGATGTCAATCTTGGTTGTCATTCCTCAGACCAAATCCATTTTGGTTTGGATTCAAAGTCTTTCAAACAGATCTGAGACTCATGGAGTAGTAGCCTGGGGTGGCTGGTGAGTCCCAGGACACCTCTCTCTACCTCTTCAGCCCTGGGACAACAAACAATCCACTACAAATGGATTTTCACATGGGCAATAGGGATCAAATCTATGACTTTGTATTTGCACAGTTATTTCCCCAGCCCTTCTAGATCTTCTAGATTTTTGGCAAGCTCTTGGGTTCATTGACTATACTTTGAGTAGCAAAATTGGACCACCTACTGGCAAAATCTTGCCAGCCTGGATTCATTGGAGGGGAGAGGGACTTGAACGACAACCAGAAATTTGAGACTAGTCCACAAAGCTGCCATGGCTGTCTCTGGGCGATATGCTAATCAAAGAGAAAAGGAAAGTAACCCAGCTTTGCTCAAATGAAGTACACCTGAAACCAGTGCCGGAAAGCACCTCACGCCAAAGGGTGAAGAGAAAAGAACTTGAAATAACTGTTGATGACCCTCCATGTCAGCTACACTAACTCAGGATGTGTCAAAGACCTTCTCTAGATTTGAGTCTGTTAGAGTCAGAAATGGATGGTATGCATAGCTCCCGGGTCCTTGGGACTGGAGAATTGGCTCAGTGCTTAAGAGCACTTGTTGCTGTTAGAGAGGACCTAGGTTCAATTTCTAGCACCCACATGGTGATTTACAGCCATCTGTAACTCCAGTTCCATCAGATTCCACCCAGGAAATCTTCTGACCTCGAAAGCACCAGGCACACATGGTACACACACATACATACACACATACATGCATGCAAAACAATATACATACATATATATATACATATATATATATATTGAAATGACTATATCTAAAAAATATACAGTAACTATAATCCAGGTCCTTTATAGCAAGACTGAAGACATACCAATGTTTTAACTAATGCTTACAAGTTCTCTCCTTCCTGAGACTGTGCAAAACGAATGTGTGGCTCCC